TACTAGGTACCTTAAAATAAGAAAAAAAGCACATGGAGAAAGCAGGAAAGAAGAATTGAAGTGTGCCCAGAACACGCTGAATAATTATGTACTACCCTATTTATATACTATGAAGTTCAAACTAAATCCTTTCATGATAATTTAGATGTCTTTATATTTTTGTAGGTAATTCAGGTCTCAGAAAGGCATCATTCCCTTAATGGATCGTCTCTTGTCTCCCAACAATGTGACTGAATTTGTTCTCCTGGGACTCACACAGAATCCACACTTGCAGAGAATACTTTTCATTGTGTTTTTGTTCATTTTCCTGTTTACCATATTGGCCAATCTGCTCACTGTCCTCACCATCTCTCTCAGCCCCACACTTTCCTCTCCCATGTACTTCTTTCTGACCTACTTGTCCTTCATAGATGCCTCCTACACCTCAGTCACCACCCCAAAAATGATCATCGACCTGATCTACCAGAGGAGAACCATCTCCTTGGGAGGCTGCCTAACTCAGCTGTTTGTGGAGCACTTCCTGGGAGGCTCAGAGATCATCCTTCTCATCGTCATGGCCTATGACCGCTATGTGGCCATCTGCAAGCCCCTGCACTATACCACCATTATGCGACAGCAGCTCTGCCGCCTTCTGGTCATAGTGGCCTGGATTGGTGGGATCCTTCATGCTACTGTGCAGATTGTCTTCATGATGAACTTGCCCTTCTGTGGCCCCAATACCATTGACCACTTCATGTGTGACCTCTTCCCACTGCTGAAGCTTGCCTGTAGAGATACCCACATGCTTGGAATGGTGGTGGCTGCCAACAGTGGGGCCATGTGCTTGCTCATTTTTTGCATGTTACTCATCTCCTATATAGTCATCCTGTGCTCCCTGAAATCCCACAGCTCTGAAGGACGGCGCAAAGCCCTCTCCACCTGTACCTCCCATTTTACTGTGGTTGTACTCTTTTTCGTGCCCTGCATATTCACCTACATGCGTCCTGTGGCCACCTACCCAGTGGACAAGTTGGTGACT